AAAAAAAAAAAAATGAAAGCTGGAATTAGAAATATCACCGGATAGATATTTGCTGGAGTAAACAATACGCACTTCTATCAGGTTAAATGCTGCCCACTAGGATAAAATTTTGCTAAACATAATTATTGATGTACAATAATTTACAAGATGCCTCACAGCTCATCTTCAACCCTGGATAAGTGCACACTTGAGTTCGTACACTTAGGTACTGAAAGCAAAGACATCATGAAAACAATGAAGGGAGGCAGCTTCCAAAGCTTATTCCGCGCTTAAGGCGCCAGATATCGCGACAAGACGTGCACGGGAACTTTTGTGTATCAAACGTTTGTGTTTAAAATTACGATGAGAGTACAGGCGCCAGCCATTTATTAACTATAAATGTTCAATAAAGGATTCGAATTTTCGAGTACGGGAGTAGGACTGGAAAGTCACAGAGTTGAATATTCGAGGTAAAGGAACTGGAACTGGATTGGTGAAAACTAAGAACAGTTGTTGCCTAAGAAATGTCTCATCTGCGAGGATTTATCAGAATTATTGAACAAAAAACGCCCAAAACGATTCCAAGGGCAACAACAGACATGTTACATAATACGAAAAACGTAACTACTCAAAACAACTACAGAAATGTAAGCACCAAAACAGTGTTTTCCTGTCTGCTCAGAGTTTGTACAACGGTACATACCTTATCTGGTGGGCGCTGGCATTGTGTGTCAGCGACCTTTGCGTCACCCGTTTGCACATGCGGGAGATTTTGCTCGAGCCATTCCTCGTCACGCGCCAACTCGACGTTGATGACGTCATCGTCTTCGTCTTGTGGCTTCTTGAGGAGTAAGGCAAATAAGACTGCCATGAAAATCACTTTGATTGGTTGACTGACCAACACGTCCTGTGCCATCGACACAAACATTGAAATAAGCCATTCCGCCTGCTGTTTGTTGTCGAAGTTTAGCCCATACAAAAGCGTGAAAAATCCTGCTACAGTTGCCGTGGAAAGGCACAAAAACCAACCAATGTATACAAACCACCATGGAAACAGACATTTCATTTTCATCTTTTTCTTTTTCTTCTGTTTTTCTGGAGAAACTAACGCAGTAGTTGTGTTTACGGACTCGTTACTGCCAATGGACCCAGGGCAAACTTTGCTTTNGACTGACCAACACGTCCTGTGCCATCGACACAAACATTGAAATAAGCCATTCCGCCTGCTGTTTGTTGTCGAAGTTTAGCCCATACAAAAGCGTGAAAAATCCTGCTACAGTTGCCGTGGAAAGGCACAAAAACCAACCAATGTATACAAACCACCATGGAAACAGACATTTCATTTTCATCTTTTTCTTTTTCTTCTGTTTTTCTGGAGAAACTAACGCAGTAGTTGTGTTTACGGACTCGTTACTGCCAATGGACCCAGGGCAAACTTTGGAAAGAAAGAAAAAATTCTCTGTAGCTTTATGATAAACGTCTTTGGCAAAACACTGATTTTAAGAAAGATGCTTTTTTCTTTTCAATATTTTCTAGAGAAGAGATATGAGGAAGGCGTTATGACCGGGAAGGGAGAGGAGAGAAAATTGAGTGTCAATGAAAGGATAAATAAGCGTAAAATAATATCACACCTCTGTGGCAACTCCTTGGCTCGTCTTTGTACAAGTAGAAGTAGATATCCGAAGACAAATAGTCTGGTACTTCCCCCACATGATCACTTTTAATCCTTAGGCTGTCTTTCTTAGTTTTCTCTTCCTTGCTTTGCATTTCCTTTTTTGAGTAACTTATCTGGCTCTCCAACAGGGTACAAAATAATTCGTCATCCCATGAGTCCTGGCGAATCGTCACGGGTGAACGAATGCTGGTTAAGTTCTTTAACAGCACATTCCCCTGTCGTTTACTCTCCAACCCCCTGTGAGGAGCCGTGGGCGTAATGTCACTGAGCGACACTGCAGTCTGTTTACGATGATTTTGTGTTGGAGGGCTGGATTCTGTTCGAGTTCTTTCAACATATTTTTTCTTCGTCTTAGGACTGACCCCTCTATTCCGGAACAACTGAACTATCAACAAGTTTATTGGAAAGACGATTAAACTGGACTGAATGCCGATAAGTATTTCGTGCCAAGTGAATTCAAAGAACCCCAAGTCTATAATGACGCTGTTTTGTTTTTTCATCGGTGTTCGATACCACATTACGTTTACCAACATCGAGCACATTAATAAAGATAAGCAACATGAGACACGCTGGACGCACGTGAAACGACTCCGCACCGGTCGAAAAGCGATGGAAAACCACAAATGTCCGTCGGAAAAGTCACGGCTAGTCTTTGCTTTGAAAAGGTGCATAAAATCACGCAATTCGTCTTTTCCCGCCACAGGAAATAGCCTGTCTACTTGTCCATCACCTTGATCACACGCCAACCATTGATTACACAAGAAAAAGAACTTTTCTTCCGTGTCAATGTCCCGGATGACAACCTGTGATAACAGCCAAGAGGGACTTTTTCCCGTGTTATCGTGCCATATACGGATAAATGTCAGACTTCCCAGGCATTCAGGCGTGGTGATAAGGAAGGAGTCTACTCCGCCTGGGTATAAACACGACCTGGATGTGCTCTTTAGCATATGGACCGCGCTCTGTCCGTCCTCGCCTGCGACAAGGATGGAGACATTTGCTGTAGTCCCTGTGTCCTTGCCGCGTGCTGTGTAGACTGTGACTTCATAGCGATATCTGTCCGCTGGATCGTTATCGAGGACTGGAACGAGACCAACCTAAACAAAAAAACACATTTAGAAGTACGCCAGGTGTGAATTAGGGACCAAGGGCATTCTGTAGCCAAATTATGTGGCCGTAAGCTGCCTCTTTAATTGGATGACTTTGATTATGTGTTTGAGATATTTCTATAGCGTAATGTTTTATGAGGGCGAACCCCAAATCAACTAACAAGCGTAGAATTCAAGAGCGACTGATTTATTTTTTTTTAGTATAAATCTACTGGTTACTCAAAACATATCAAGAAGACAAGTTCATGACAACCAATTGGCAGGCTATCGTCACTCTACTCGCTGTTTATCACGAATTATAACCCATTCATTAATTTTACCTGCTACGGATTAAGATGCTCTTTGAACGTAGTGAACAGCACCTTTGCTAACCCTACGATGGCGCGTGTTCAATCTGGTGTTACCTGTAGTGAAACGAGCTGTTACGTAGAAGTTAAGAACTCGTCATTTGAGCAAGGTGGTCTTACCTGCAACGGATTAAGATGCTCTTTGAACGTAGTGAACAGCACCTTTGCTAACCCTTCGATAGCGCACATTCAGCCTGGTGTTGCTTGTTATGGGGCCATCATTAGCCGCTTGGAAGTTGCGAATACTCTATTTGTACAAGCGAATCTTGTCTGTAACAGATCATGCTTCGTGAACGTATGGAATAGCAACTTCAACAACTCTGCTATAATAGTTTCTACAGGAACAGGAAAGAAATGTTACGTAGAGGTTGAGAACTCGTCATTCGAGCAAGGCGGTCTTACCTGTAACGGATTAATATGCTCTTTGAACGTAGTGAACAGCATCTTTGCTAACCCTACGATAGCGCATATTCAGTCTAGTGTTGCCTGTTATGGAGCCATCATTTGCCGTTTGGAAGTTGCGAATACTCTATTTGTGCAAGCTAGTCTTATCTGTAACAGATCATGCTTCGTGAACGTATGGAATAGCAACTTTAGCAACTCAGCCGCTATAATTGTTTCTACAGACACAGGAACAGGAACAGAAACGAAATGTTACGTAGAAGTTAAGAATTCGTCATTCGAGCAAGGCGGTCTTACCTGTAATGGATTAAGATGCTCTTTGAACGTAGTGAACAGCATCTTTGCTAACCCTACGATAGCGCATATTCAATCTGGTGTTGCCTGTTATGGGGCCATCATTTGCCGTTTGGAAGTTGTGAATACTCTATTTGTGCAAGCTAGTCTTATCTGTGGCAGATCATGCTTCGTGAACGTATCGAGTAGCAACTTTGACAACTCTGCTATAACAGTTTCTACAGATGTCAACGCTGGGGAAAACGCGAATATGACATCAGTTGCGATCGCCCATTCGAATTTCATCCGGAATAGACCACAGTCACTTATCAAATTTAATTGTCAACTTGGCTTCGAATTGAAAATTTATCACTGCAATTTTCGAGATGATTACCGGAATCCTTTTCCTGACTCTTTGATAGACCTCCATTCAAGTCCACCGTCAGTTGGTAGAGTACGAGTGGCTTTCAACAGAAATAATTTTACTGCCATTGCCGGACCAGGCTTCAACCTTCGCGGTTGTTTTGATTCGATTTCATTTGAGGATCTATCAATGATTGATATGAAATCATTTGTACTCAGAGTTAATGAAAAGCACCAAAATTGTCAGCCTAGAAGTGTCACCGTCCAAATGAACAACTGTTTATTTAGTGGCACATTGGGTTTGGCTAACTCTCTCGCAGCGGCAATTTACATTGAAGCACGTGAGATCACAATCTTAATGAACTACATGCAGTTTCATTCAAACAACTGCTCTTTTATTTTCTTTCATTCTAAAAAAGGAAGTTTAACCATCAGCAATTCAGACTTTGCATATAATACCGTGGGAGATGATAATGTCCATCTACTTTTAATTTCCGAAAAGTATCCATCCGGGGAACTGTCCAACTCACCCAAGATTGCCGAGAAACAGGAGCAAGATGGCGTAGCTGGCAGCACAGTGTTAAATATTCAAAGTACAAAATTCTCTTTCAACAAAGCACTCAGGTCAATAATAACACTTTCCCACACTTTAGCAACTTTGTCGAATGTTACCTTCATTAATAACACTGAAGGGTTCGGTGGAGACATACACATCAAGGACCAAAGTTCAGTATCACTTAACAGCTGTCGATTTGAGCATTCTTCACGCAATAACTTTGCATCAGCCTTTGTCTATTCTGAGGTGAGCTCAAACTCTACTGTTAATATCATCAACTGTCGTTTCAAATCACACGTTGAGTTTGACGCAAGCCTGGTATTTTTTCTGAGATCTGGGATACGCCTTTATGCTGATAAACAATCCTACATAACGTGTCCGCTGGGTTATTTCCTTGAATTAAACACGCCGAATGTTAGCCTTTCAGGCTCACTCATAAACGATACATACCAACCTACTTGCAAAAAATGCTCCGTCGGATTGTATAATCTTCAGCAAGTGTACGCCATTCCTGATTCTTCAGCGAACGAACAATGCATCCCCTGTCCCTATGGAGGCAACTGCACTCATGGGATCGAAGCAAAACCAAACTTTTGGGGATATCTTGAGCCAGAAGATCATCGACCA